GAAAAAGAGATGGGAGGAATTTCTTTTTATTCCGACTCTCCATCAACAATGGTTCCAGGGCCGGACCAAATAATTTGCCTCCCGAGATGGGGGCGGAGGCCAATTTAGCTTTATTTTTAATGTCGGCCTGCCAATGTTTAAGCCAAAGCAGGCGCCGGGCTGTCACGTGCGAGGAGATAGCCCGAGAGGAAAATTTCACAGAATGAAAAGTGGCGTCGGCCGCAAATTCCGCTGCGCCCGTTAACTTGGCAATGTCCTGATGGGCCCTGGTGTTAGATGGGGGGACATGCTGTTTCAACTGTCGAAGCCATCTGATGGAAGATCGGGTGAAAAAGGATGCCGCCGTGGCAGATCGAATGGCCAGGCATCAGATTGGTGCGCCCGTCGTAGCGCCATCTCGGCCCGCTTATCCTCTGGCTTCAGCGCTTCGAGAGCATCAGTGGGATTAGAGGATGATGTGAGGCGCACTATGGGGTCATCCACCTCGGGCGTGTCTAGCATGGCAGCGAATTCCGTATCGAGGTTAAAAAACCTCTTGTCTTGGCTGGAAGGAGCAGGAGGGGCCTCTGATGAGGCCAACTGCCTCGCTACTAAGTCGGAGAAAATTTGTGGCGTAGGAATGACCGACTGGCTGCTTGAAAATAGAATCCTCTGGGTCCCCAGAGGATGCTGGAGGGGGTTCAGAATGTGGCTGAGAAACCAGACCCGAAATATTCTTCGCCTTAAATAGCAAAGACTTGAACATATGAGGCTTGAACAGGCCTACCAAAGCGGGTTGGTCGGGAGATATGCCCTCGTCCTCTGACATCTCTTCTTCCATTGGTTCTACTTCGGAAAGGGGTTCAGAGTAGTAAAGAGACCCCCTATCTGACCCTTCCTCGTCCCTGAAGGGTTCAAAGCCCACCTCCTCCTCCTCTTCTGGGTAGGGGAGCTCCCTTTGGGAAGATACCTGACCATGATGAGGTTCCGGTCTGGGGAGGGATCTTCCGGAGACGGATTCGACTTCAGGTGCCCTTGTTTGAGAACCTGGTCTGGACAACTGTTGGATACCTTCCGCAATCCCTTGGCGGATGGCCAGTTGCATCCATTCTCTAACACTGTCTGGGATGATGTCTGTGGATGAGCCCTCTGGGCGTAAGCCTGCAGCGGTCGGTGTGAATGTCGCTTCAGGTCGAGTGGCTTGGAGGCTCCGGGAGGGTGAACTGCGCCTGGAAAGAGAAGGTTGTTCTGGCAAAGGAAGAGGTTGAGTAGAGGTAGAGGGGGGGCTGGTGTTACAGACTGAGAGTCCCTAGAGCGTTTGTCAAACTCCCTCTCCAAAGCCTTGTGGCGCCTTAAGGCATCCTTTTGAGAGGCTTTGGATGAATCCTTGGTCCGTTCACGCAAATGGTGCGTCTTTGACTTAGCCTTCAAAGAAGGTCCCCTAGGATTGTCTTCTGCCATAATAAAGAGTCTGTACAGAGCAATATTATATACAGAGGCGGTTGGCACGCCTAGGAGTACGGCCTATAATGTGGGCCGGATATCCTATCGTTGGGCCGCGTCCCCCTTTTGGTAAAAAAAAATTTTTTTTTTTGGGTTGTATCGTAATATATATGACTAATTGAAATTTATTTTATTTTATTTTATTATTATATTATTATTATTATTATTAATATTATTTATATTAACATAAGGCTAAAAAGGGGGCCTAACTGAACTGCAGAGTAATAAAAAGGAATATCCAAAAGCCAATAGACTGAATGAACGCTGAGGCCAGATAACAACAAAAGGCAGAAAAAGGAAAAATAGGAAAATGGGAAAAAAAACAGGAAAAAACAGGAAAAAACAGGAAAAATAGGAAAAATTAGGCCTCCTGAGGCAGCCTCCCAAGCAAAATGGAAAGTAGGTGCCTCTCCTTCGCCTCTGAGTGGGCTGCGGAACAAACCAACAGATAAATTAACGGGGCAACAGGGCACAGAGCCACAATACCCCTTCAAAAATGAAACTCCAAACAGGCCTGCCGGTCCTGTTATAGGCCTCCCGAATCGTCGCAGCAAACTGTAAGGCTAAACAAAATGGCGGCCGGCCATGAGGCGCGCCCAAAATGGCCGCCGGAACCAGCGCGAGGCTCAGAGAAGAAGGAAAGCCCCTCAACAACAACAAAAACTGCCGAAATGCAGGCAGAACGAGGGGCCGAAGAGAAGAGAGCTCGCCCTCTCTCTATTGCGTTCGTGGGGGGAAGGCACAACGGAGTGCTATTAAGCGCGCAAACACGAGCCGCTGCTAAGGCAGAACGGCTTAAAAACGGCAGGCACCAGAGTGGGGGTGGGGGGGGGGTGAAAGGCTCTAAAAACCCCAATCTCCCCCCTGAGGGGCGAAAAAAACGCCCCCTCCGCTATTCCAAGACCAGCCAAATGCGCAGGGACCAAGGAAATAAAGGAAAGATCAAACCTGATATATATAGATACAGAATCCTAAATCGGCCAAGGAGAAAACTGCTACAGCTGCCTGTCTTCTGCGAGGCTGAGCTAAAACTGGGGAACGCTACGGTGGAGTCACGTGGAGGAGGTGGAGTGTTCCTCAATTATAGCTCAGCCTGTAAGAGTGAAGACTGGAGCAACTCCCACTCTGGATGCTCACAGCAGCTCTATGGAGAAAGGTTGGCACATTTCATGTATCTTGCCATTACTTTTGAGGACTAATTTCTCTCGTCCATTTGTTATTGCTGTTTGTTATTATTTGTTTATTTATTACCGAGCTGTGGTGCCACAGTGATTAGAATGCAGTAGAATGCAGTATCGCAGGCTAACTCTGTCCACAGGCCAGGAGTTCGATTCTGACTAGGAACAAAGTTGACTTAGACTTCTATCCTTCTAAGGTCAGTAAATGAAGAAAATTGTTGGGGACAATATGCTGACTTGGTAAATGACTTAGAGAGGATTGTAAAGCACTGTGAAGCAGTATATAAGTCGAAGTGCTATTGCTATTATCGTTTGCCACTACAGGGATGTGAATCAATATATTCTTCTTGCCATCTATTAATATGGATAGAGAAAACATCACATTTCTGTGACTAGCATAGAGTGGGATATTTGCTAGGTGAAGGAAATTTTAGGAACTGGAGGAAAAACTCAAAAGTATTGAGAAATCATTAGCTAATTTCACATACCATTTCTGCTTGCCTTCAAAATCAAAAAATCCAGGTTTGGGAATGTTACAGCGACCACATTTGACCTAAAGGAAAAACAATATGGGGATAACATTAGAGTACATGCTGAACATTAAAACAATATTGTTATGGTACTTGACATGACCTATCTAACAACAAAAGTAAGGCTTTTCTTTTGCCCCAAAAACATAAGAATTGCTTAAAAAATAAATCAAACCCATAAAGTGAATCACAGCCCTGATCAGATGTCTGAAAATTCAGAACTGGGCATAAGGACAATGAAAACAAAGCTTCTCCCCATTTTTTTCTACTCAGCAAGATCCTGCCTGTGAATACCAAAGTTCCTTTAATGAATCCATGCACAAAAGATGCACAAGAATTTTAAACTGTTAAGTATTATATAACAAAACTGGTTGAATCTAAAAGTGCACACCAAATGAGTTGAAACTCAGAATGCTGCGATAGGATAGTTGGCAACGCCATGTAGAATTGCTTAATTTGCAACACAACGTTCTTCTTACCTCATGTTTAAACAAGGTCAAACTGCCTTGTACACCTTACACATCAGACAAGACCAATATATTTTATTATTTAACATCCTCTCGGTATTTTAAGGAAGTTTTGATACTTAGACTAGATGTCCTCAAGCTATGCTGATTTACTCAAAGGAAGTTAATAAACTCAAAGGGAAGATAATAAGAACAGTCACATTGTGACAGTACCAAGGAAGAGTAATTTATTTGGTGACCATGTCTTTGTTAGTGTGGTGATTTCTTGCTTCTGGACAACAGGGCAACCCCACCTACGATTTGTGTCATCCCCTGGTTCAGGGTTTCTCAAACTATGAGATGTACCTCCCTTGGAGAGGTGCACAGAGAGTTCAGGGAGGTGTGAAGAATTTTTTAGTTATATATTGTTACGATACTGTAAATCCACCATTCCTAAAATACTAGTTTCAAGTGAGTAATATGGCGATGGACAAGTAACAAACTGTATTTTTAATAAAGACATAAAAATAAAAAAACAAAGTTTCACTGTATTTTTGCAAGTGTTCATTTTGGTGTTTGGATTTTTGGGGAGAGGTATGTGCAATTAAAGAGAGGTGTGATAGTAAAAGGTTTAAGAGCCCCTGTCCTAGTTCCTTATTTAGATGGTTGTAAACTAATAATCCAATTAGCCTATGCTTCTTGGAATTTGGAACCTCTATAAGATCCATCCAGGGCTCTTAGCTTTGCTTGCTGGGAGTCCAATGATCACTGTATTCTTTTCCTATCTTAATAAACAAACAATTTAGAACTCTTCCATTGTTTTGGTTTTCTATAATTTTTCCACTACACACTGTAACAAGAGAGATCTAGTCACAACATCTGAATACAGGTAAGTATTCTACATACTTTAGAACAGCAATCCCAACCTTTTGGGCACCAGGGACCGGTTCCATTGAGAAAAGTTTTTCCACGGATTGGGGGGGACAGGAGTGCTGCCTGCATCCTGTGTGGATGGGGCTTTTGCTTGTTTGTGCCGCCCTCATGCCAGTCTATAGACCAGCAGTTGGGGACCCCTGGCTTAGAATCACCACAGATTACTTGTTACAAGTTGAAGATGAAGTTTCACGTGGGCAAAAGCTGAATCTTGCCTCTAAAACTTTTCTTTAATAGTATTAATAGTATCCTCATATACTTGAATACTAGACACGAGGTTTTGTGACATAAAACAGCTAAATTGGGGGGGGGGGGGGAATGACATTTTTCTCAATGTTTATTACACCTAACCCAGCCGCCCTGCTTGGGTTCCCCAGACTCTTTTTGAGAAGATGAGTAGAATATAATACCTGTAGGAGTTTGAGTTTCCTTCATATGAAGGAAACTATCTCCTAAAGTTATTCGTACCCAGACTGAGCTTTATGCCAAAGGGATAGAGTCCGCGGTGATAAAATCATAATTTATTTTGAGTGACCTGAGTAGCTACACTAAAAGTTCTTTGTAGTTTAAGCTACTCACCTGTGGACTAGATCTTAGATAAACATCCATTATGGATTTTTCAGGTGACTAGATGGGTGGGAATAGCAGTCTCCAGGAAATAATTAATGCATCTTTGAAAGGTGGGGTAATGCTGTCTGTTTGGAAAGGAGTAGTAGCATTTTCCCTCTTGAAGAGGCAACTCCTGGACAGAATTGTATTTGACAACTTCCACCCAGTCCCCAACCCATTTTTTTTTTTTGTCAGTGTGATTTATTTTTCAATATTTATATCCCACCTCAGTCCTAACAGACCCTGGGTAGGTAGCAGTACAGTAAGACATACAACACAAAGCAAAACGTATTAAATATAATATATAAAGGAGGCACGGATTCAGTTTGTTGTCTGGTCTATATCCCTTAAACTTCACAAAGATGTTTCAGTAATATCTCTTACCTGACCTTATATTTGATATATAAATACTTTATATTTACTTTATAAGAAGAGTGGGCCAACCTGTTTTCCTAAGCACCAGAAGGCAAGACAAGAAAGAACGGAGGGAAATTAATCAAGGAGAGAAGCAACCTAGAATAAAGGAGAAATTTTCTAATGGTAAGAGCAATCAACCAGTGGAACACCTTGCCTTCAGAAGTTATGGGTGCTCCACCACTGGAAGCTTTTAAGAAGAGACTGGGCAGCTATTTGTCCAGAATGGTATAGGGTCTAATGCTAGAGCAGAGGGTTGGATTAGAAGATGCCTTCCAATTATTATTCTGTTAACTCCTCTCCTGACAGGCAAGATATATGGTCAAAGCATGCATATTTAAAATGCTCCTCTGAAATTAAGAAATGTGTACATAAACAGCACTTCATAATTTCAACACTAACTGATAATTTACTTACGATGAAATAGTATATCCAAGATTCAGTACGGTATCAGTTTTCAGTCTTCTGAAATCTTTTTGCACTTACAACTGGAAATGAAATACTGAAAAATGTCTTGAACGGTGAAAACATATGTATAAGTGTTGGCCCGCTCCAGCCTCTGAGAATTTATTTTTTCATTTAAAACATTTAGGTGGCTGGCTAACTCAAACAATGAGATTCTGGATGGTATACAAAAAAATAAATACATACCACCAGGCAAGCGAAAACAATTATGTGTTCATCCAGGCTAAAATATATCTAATTCACCAACTCTACTCATTCGGATCCAAGTGCTGGGAAAAACAGTAGTCTTAACTTTTAAAGATTTACAGAGTTGAGCAATTAATTGTACATGGAATTATAAATAAGCAGAATTTTCAATGAAGGACTAAAATCTGAATTAACTTTTAAGTGCTACCAGTTGCTTTAGAACATGGGAAGAGGGAAAGCAGATTGTGTGTTGCTAATAGATGAAATACAATGCCATCCAGATTTCAAGAAAGTAAGTTTTTAAATTATATAGGTTCTAAACAAATTTCAATACCTCAAGTGTACGTATATATCACATGTTCAATATGTTCAAAACTGAGAAGAGCTTGTGATTTGAAGTGATGTGGTGTGCTAAATCAATCCCTGTGTTTTTATAAACCATAGTTTATAGCTCGACGTTATTAATGAAGCCAATTAAAGCAACATTTAGCAAGTGATGTACGCAAACCTTGGGATGCCAAACTACACTTCAATCATAAATAATGAATGAGTCAGTTGCACCTCCTTGTTTGTCAATGCAGTTGCCAAACAAGATGTTCTTGGTGTTTTCACAATGTGGTTACTAAACTATTTGCTGAAGCAGGTACTGCAATGTGTTTCTATTAAGGAACAGAGACTTTTAAGAGAACCCAGCCTGCTGCTGAACCTCTGTCAAAGGCAGAGGTCCCCAAACTTGGCAACTTTAAGATTTGCGGATGCTTCAACTTTCAGAGGCTGGAGATTTCTGGAAGTTGAAGTCCACAAGTCTTAAAGTTGCCAAGTTTGGGGATCCCTGGTCAAAGCCATTAGAACACTATTCACAACTGTATGCATGAGATTTTGCCCTTCCAAAAAGTTCTGTATTCTAGCTATGTTCAAGAAAAATCCTGAAAATCTGATGTGTATTACTATTTTTTGTTTCTAGGGAGGAGTAGAAGACCCTACCCACAATCTCTTTTGCCTCTAACTTTATTAAATAGGTATGCTGAAGCAGAACAGAGACATATCCAGCTCCCTACCTCCTCCTGCTCCAACTCTTGGTTCCTAGAGTATTATGTTTTGCTTGCTCAATTCATTGAATCATAAATCAGCTTAACTTGTGCAAAGCCGTACAGGTATTGAGTAAGTCACAATTAATCAGAAATCCACATTCAGCAAACAGTCTCCGGTTCCCCATATCTGACACACAGAAATGGAAAAATCCCGTGTTGTGGCAACAGGTTTTTGTGTCATAAGAACGGAAGCAGTATAACAGCCAGAATTGCTAACTGGGACTGTTCACGGAGAGAATTTCTCCACCCACCTTGAACCGACAAACCAAGTTTTGCGCGCGGTGAAGGCACCAAGCTAGCTAGATCGTGAGGCTCACTTTGGTTGGACCTGAAGCCATCAGCTGGATGACCTTGAGGAGACCCTTAGGAAGGAGGCAACGGCCAATCCCTTCCGAAAAGCCTTGCAAAAGAACTGCAGGGACTCTCACTCGAAGCGAGACCGACCTCACAATACCTCACACACACACACAATAACACACACGCACCCCGCCTCCACCAGCCGGTGAGGGTCAGATAGGACCTCCTCCACCTTCGGAAGCAGTCTGCCTTTCGGTAACAGTTTCAAGAAGGGAAGACTGTCCCCGTCCCCCCCGTTTGCAGCCTTCCCCAGAAGCGCCCAGAGGCGGCCCCCGTTCCCGCCTCGGGACCCCGGCGGGGCAGCCTCACCTGCTTATAGCGCGCGTACAAGTAGAGGAGTTGCTCCTTGCCGGCCGCGGCCACCAGCATCGGGACGCGCTGCACCGCCCTCTCGAACTGCTCGGCCAGGTTCAGCGGGGAGGAGGGCGAGTAGCTCTCCGAATCGGAACCGGGGCCTGGAGACTCCCCCAGCCCTCCCACCACCATCACGGCCACGGCCGCGCCCGCCCTCTCCTCTTCTCCCGAGCTGCAGTCGTCCCCTCCGCCCGCTCGCCTTGCGCCCGTAGCCGGGAACAGCGATGCCATGGCGGCCTCCCTCCCGCCGGCCCCCCCAGCCCGCTGCCTCATCTCCCGCTCCTCCCGTCCCGCCCCCTCCGAGGAAGCGCGCGCCCATCAGCCAACCGCGTCTCCCGCCGAGGGACGAAGCCACGCCCCCTCGCATCCCACGCGGATGCCTCCCCCTCCGAGACCAACTCCCGCGCATGCGGGAGGGAGAAAAGAAAAGAAAGGGAAAAAAAACAAAAACGAAAACCCAGAGAGCTACGCAAATGACAGATCATCACGCCCGAGGAAATGCTCTTGGTGCCGCGTTTCATATACACAAACACACCCCGCCCCCAAGACACCTTCTTCGTAACAGCCGCTCTTGCCTCTGGGGGCGCTGTTGAGGACAGGTCGTCCGTGTGTCCAAGCTTAAAAAAATAAAAATAAAAAAAAAAGAGGCTAACTAAGAATGAGGGAAAGTTCCATTTTAGGAGTTAAGAGGCTGAACTTTCTCCACGGTGTTCAGTGCGGAGCGATGGAGGAGTGGAATCTTTCGAGTCTCAAGGCAAGTGAGCTTTCTCCCCCACCACCACACACACACCCTTCGTTCGGGGCAAAACGGGGAGGCTGAGCAGACTCGAACCTTTGCAGCATCTGGAAGACGGTTTTATTGGAAAGAAGGGCTGGCCGCTCTTTCTAACGTTTTTGGGCCAGTCTAAATCGATTTGACTCAATAATAATTTCATTTTATTTTATTTATTTATTTTGCCAAGCATGCATTATAGAACAGAATTCTTTTCTTGGCCAAGTGTGATTGGACACACAAGGAATTTGTCTTGGTGCAAATGCTCTCAGTGTACATTAAAAAAAAAAGATACATTCGTCAAGAATCATAAGGTACAACACTTAGTGATAGTCGTAGGGTACAATAAATGATCAAATCATACTAGGAAACAGTCCATATAACTAGTAAGGATACAAGTGACAAAGTTACAGTCATACAGGGGGATGAGTGAGAAGGATGAGAAGATAACAGATATAAGTATAAACATGATTATTAATACATGAAATAGATACGAATAAAAAGGAAACGTTAGGACAGGGACGGTAGGCACATTGGTGCACTTATGCACACCCCTTACAGATCTCTTAAGGAATGAGGTGAGGTCAACAGTAGACAGTCTAAGTAGACAGTCTAAAATTAAAAAATTTGGGGTTCGGGGAAGAAACCACAGAGTTAGGTAGTGTATTCCAGACATTGACCACTCTTGCTGAAGTCGTATTTCCTGCAGTCGAATTTTGTGCGGTTTACCTTGAGTTTGTATCTATTGTGTGCTCTTGTATTGTTGTGGTTGAAATTGAAGTAGTCATTGACGAGTAGGACATTGCAATAGATAATTTTATGTACTACGCTTAGGTCGGACTGAAGGCGGCGTAGTTCTATGTTGTCTAAGCCTAAAATTTCAAGTCTGGTGGCATAAAGTATTCTGTTGCGAGTAGAGGAGTGGAGGACTCTTCTTGTGAAATATCTCTGGACTCTCTTGATTGTATTAATGTCCGATATGCAATGCGGGTTCCAGACAGATGAGCTGCATTCGAGAATTGGTCTAGCAAAATTTTTTTGTAATTATAGTAGCAACTTTTCATATCTATGTCTGTGCGTGTGCAATTGGTGCAGAAATTTTATTTGTTGCAGTAATATTTTCCTTAACTATTATGACTATGATCATGATTTATCACTTATATCTTTTTTGTACACTGAGAGCTTATGCACCAAAGACAAATTCCTTGTGTGTCCAATCACATTTGGCCAATAAAGAATTCTATTCTATATTGCTAACATTCAGTAAATATTTTGGCAGTGGTTTGCTCTCCAAGCTTGGTTCAATTTAGTTTCTTGAACGTTTTTCTTACCAGACTAGGTAACATCATCAGCACCACAATTTCCCCCTAAAACTCATCTGTGGTTTTTCCACTAGCAGCATCTTGGTGGAATCTTCCTGCTGCAACCTTAAATTTGTTGTGAAAGTAAGAACATAAAAAAAACTTGAGCATGTCTTTGAGGTCAAGTATGGAAAGCAACACTTGTTACATCTTGAATAACTGATTCCAATTAGCTTCCCCTTAATATAGGAAATTTGTGTATCTCATTGTGTAACTTTGGGCCATACAATATACTCTCTTTCAGTCCAACCTTTCTTACTGAATTGTTGTGAAATGAGATCTCCTGAAAAGTGTCTTAAACTTCTAAATGAAAGACAAGATAGAAATCTGACAAATAAACTGATAAACATATCAACTGAGCCAGTTTTGCTTTGACTATGCAATGCAGTTTAAATACTGTAGCTAAACTTACAAGGCTTACAAATGCAAGGCTCAAGCTCCAGAGCTTGGTGTGGCTTTTTTTTCCTCCACTTTCAAAACCTGAACATTTATTTATAATTTATTCGCTGAGTTTAGATGCTTCCCAGCTCTAACAAACTTGGGGTGGCTTACAACCTTGGAGTAACACAAAGCAATAGAAATACAAAAAATAACCAGAATGATTCAACAGTATCTACAAAATAATGAGATGGCAATTGAAACACCAAAGCAAATATAAACATCACAAACAGGGGAGTCCCATATACCTTACTGGGGAAATAGTTGGGTTTTCTGCAACATCATCAGGGTGAGAACTGTAGTAATCTTGTGGGAGCTGATCTGATCCAGATTATCCACCCAATAGCCAGAATCATCCTCACAGCAGCCTTGCAGATGATCCAATGTTTGCCCCTACCCAACATTGACTGGGTCATCCTAAACAGGCCTTTGGACAATTATTGGTGGATGAAATAAAAGTGGTGTACGTACCAGCTAGACTAGAGCTTTGCTATCTTTATTACCACAAGGTAGTTCCTAATATGATCTCGTACCCATGTCCATGCAAGATACTAGGCTAAGATGTAGTCTAGTGTGTTGTATACACATAGCCAGAGTAACATGAAGTTCTTGAAGTACCAGGAGAGTGACAAAGGTAGGAAATATATCTGTTATTAGAAGCATTGAGGAATGCTTCATGTATACAGGGTAAGAGCTAATATAATCATGCAAATTCAGCCAAGCTTAACACAACTGCCACACCTTTGCTGAAACATTAAACATAAAATACTACAACAAAGGCCAGAGCATTTACTGAAGCAGAGGGTTGTTAATAATAAGAAAGTGATTGTTAGCACAGAACCTATTGTCCTTTCCCAAGGCCTGAAAATAGAGATTTGTAGCCTCTTCACCAGCTGTGCTCTGAACAGGTCTCTTGAAGGCTTAGCAGAAGGTTAGCTAGTGCAGCCAAGGAGATGTTTCTTTGCAAGTCTTTTTGTTCCCATCTATTAGAGATTTTTTTTTAAAAAAAAAGCCTGTCCTACTTGGTCAGTATTGGAGAGCATGAACAAAATGTCACGTGTTCCCATCAGTCTGAAACAAGGAGTCCCAGCTATTTTTTTTTCCTACCTCATTGTTAGTTAGGATGAAAAAGTACCCAATTGCTTCAGACTAGGGCCTGCCTCTTGATTTCTCTCCGGAGTTCCTGGAACAAAAACAGAAACCGTCTCCACATTAACCACATCAATATCTCACCTTTGGGGAAGGGTTCTTGCAAATCCATTTTAGAAACAGGGAAATAAGAAGAGAGGCAATGCCAATACATACCAGATAATGTTTTCAAGAAATGCAGAAGTTGTTAAATAACATTTGCATTCCTTTCTAATGTCTCCAATGGTTTCTCAACAAAAAATGTGTGTTTTGACAAAGCCTCTTTTGTCTGTAATTTCAGGCTGTCATCCCACAAGACGCCACATGAGGGCAGTCAATCCATTTCTTTATTGATTACCAATTTGCTTTTAAGAAGCATGGTTACTGCATGCAATAGCCTTCAGTACACTGTCTTTTAATGATAAGATGATTGATGTTTAAACTATATTAGTGTAGCAGCAGGCACACTACAGTGTAGAGCCTTAATATTAGAGGGAAAACAGCTCTTTATTTATTGTATAGCAGGAACACTATAAAACAGAAGACATAAAGAGATACTTCCATTGGAAAACTCTGATTTAATCCAATATGTGGGTCCACGCAATGAAACGTAAGTCTACAGTTGCATACTATAATTTAAAGAACATAGCTGATTTTTGTACACAATGCTTCCAAATGTAAGAAAATGTATCAGCCATATACCATGAAGTGGAAACAAAATACTCAGATCTAAGTTTATTATTATTACCTTGATTGTCAGAGTACAACATGTGTACAATAAAAAGTTTCCTGAGGATGGGCTCCAGCAGAAGTCCGAAAAGCTTGTAGACAGTCCCAGTGACCAACCCAGATTGGATCCTGGAAAAAAAAAACCTGAAATGACTAAAATGTGTATCTAATTATGGAAATCAAAGCGGATCTTTTTTCCCCCTCCTGGAATGCACACTTCATAGGAAAATATGCAAAAAGCTGCACAATCTGCCTAATAGGTTTGGCTAAATTAGACAAAGGAGATGGCAAAGAAATCCCAGAGCTCTGGTTCCATCTTACCTGGAGGACTCCAGGGAAATTTCCTGCTTTCAGTGGATCTTTGGAATGGTTAGGGAAAAGCATGCATGAGACTGAGACTTAGGAAATGGATGCACAGCCTGTGGCTCCAGGGTTGCATGCTTTAAACTTATTTAAAGTTGCTCCTAGACTGAGTGTACATTTATTTATTATATTATATTTGTGTGACTTCAAATTATTCCCTACTCCTGGCAATATCCCTATAGTTTTCTTGGCAAGATTTTCAGAAGTGGTTTGTCCTTTGCCTTATTCCTAGGGCCAGCTGGCTTTATGCCTAAAATGGGACTGTTCTTTCAACCTTGGTATCTTAACAGTTGGTTCTATTATTTATGCATTATATATGTATGTTGCCGTGGTGCTGCAGGGGTTAAAATGCAGTATTGCAGGCTAATTCTGCTGACTGCCAGGGGTTTAATCCTTACCTGCTCAAGGTTCACTCAGCCTTCTATCCTTCCGAGGCAGGTAAAATGAGGAGCCAGATTGCTGGGGGGGGGGGGG